GAACGGGTGGGGCATAATTACAGGAATGCCTCCCCACAAAGCCGTGCTCGCCAGCCCCTGACATTTATGATTTAAAATGACTTGTTTCAGGTACGCATAAGTCTCAGAAATTCAAGTAGATTAAATCCCATTAAAATATTTTTTAAGCTTAAAAATAATTAAAGAAAGTTTACCTTAGTTTTTGTATTGGAAATATTGCTTTTACTTTATTTTTATTTATGATTTCATAAGGACCCTTAGATTCAATTAAAGGAAAACTATGTAAATTCTCTTTCAGTTTATCAAGTTAAATGGTCTGTTCTTAACTATTATTTCATTCAGAAAGAGTTCTAGACACAACCTGAAATTATTTTTGGCATGGAAATAGAAAACTTCAGATGCTTTTCCAAGCTTACGCTTGCATTGCAATTGCAAAAATGAAAGAATTTAATTGGAGTCAAGCATTAAGAAGAGTTTTTAGCATGACAGCTCAACACTTCAAAGTTATTGAAAGAGAAAACGGTAACTATCATATGTGGATCTCCTTGAAGCTGGCCACTGTATTCACAAAGATGAAAAGTTTAGGGCAACCTCCACAGAACATCACCACGCTATTTGATACAAACTAAAGAAATGCTTTTTAAAAATTATTTTATCAATGACATTAAGTTCTTTACGTAAACAAGAAAAAAGCCTAATAATTAAAGTCTAGGGAAAAGGGCTACCATTGGTGTATTTTGGACACTGATAACAAAATAGTGACTTCTGAGATTTTTCACAGACTTCGAAGCTACTACTTAAACTAATGTTTAAGTTTGAAATTGGCAGGTACATGAAAAGATAAGTACTGTATAAACCATATAAACCACTAAGGATAGATATAAAAGGGTCACCTGAGTAATAGAAATGATTAATTACATCAAATATATACCTAGAAGGATATGTACAGCTAGGAACATATTTCTTAAGAATTTTACATTGGATTAAGAATGCATCATTAATGTAACTTAATTAGGCAGTTTTCTTGTATTTGCAATTATACTAAAATAATATCTAAGTACATTCTGATTTTTGCAAATTGGTGTAGTTCATCCAGATCCTGCTTCTTGTTATTTGAATACAAAGTCAGAATATGTGCCCTGTGTGGTGTTTTCACCAAAGTCTGGTCCAGAATATTAGAAGGCTTGCTAAGCCTGCAAACTTCCTCTGTCCATATGAAGAAATCAGTGATGAAGAAAAGTAAATGGTATGTTACTCATAATGAACCCAGAAAAATGGGACAAGAAGAATGTCCCATCAGACAGCGTAATCAAATTCATGTTCATTCACTGCAGTGCAATTACCTCTAAAAGAAAAAAAAAAAACACAAAACAAAAAACCGCACAAAAAATCCAAATCAGAAGGTATTACCATCATATGAATGTCCAGCTATACTTTTAAACGTTTGCTTTTAACGTCATATGTGAATTTCTAGTATACGCTTAGATTAAAATTGTAAAATATTTTTAATTGCTCTAATTTTCTTTAGAAAGGGAAAATGAAGATTGTTCAAATAATTTGTATCTTAAATATCTGTACATCTCTATGAACAATGGTTTGCAAACATCAAAATCCTCTCAGAATGAGAAAAATCCATTGATCATAAGAAAGTTTTTGATAAATTTAGTAGGATAAATAGAAAATGTTTGATACTCTGGCTCGCCTCATTGTTTGCGAATTGTGTCATTGGGAACAACAGAAATACAAGTAGGAATGCTTGGATTTGAAACAGTGAGGGTTTTCTTCCTTGATACTTGAACAAAAGGCAATGATGTGTTAATTTGTGAACTAGAAAGAAAAACATTTTTAAGATTAGTATACTCAAACTATTTCTAATGCAAGATGCAATGAAGTTGACAAAAATTTTGGATGAGTCAATTCCTTTGCTAATTGTCCAAATGGAAGCTTAAATTATCAAAGTCTATAAAGAAGTCTATTGTACCTAACAATTTATTCTCTCTTAGAAGCCACGTCTGTCAATTCTGTGTATCAACATACCTCACAGCAAAAAACCCCACAATGCTCACCTCATGAAGCAGCATGTATTCATCCAACATTCAAGAATGACATACTTACACAATTGATTTTTCCAGTCTGCTCCCCTGTGATCCAACTATTTCTCCCAGCGTACAAAACATTTGTCCCAAAAAATCCTGAAAAGCAGTAATATAAGAACTCAGAATTCATATTCCACATTGAAACAAATTTAGTTTCCTGCTTATCTGGGCTGTTCACTATCGTAGAATACATTCTGCTGAACATTGCATCTTAACAATAATGAATCATAAAACAGTCACTATCACATATTTTTACATAACACTGGGATACATTTACAGAAGTAATTCTAATGCACTCCACTTACTGTTTTTATATTGCCTTTTTCATCAACAAAAATTAAACTGAGATGGAAAAAATCTAAAAGCATTAGAAACGTGACTGTTTCTTTACCTTCTTTAACTGAAGCATTTTAATAAATCTCTTTTATGAAGAGGTTCTACACTGATTCTATGAATTTCTTGTAAGTTAATCATGTTGGCAGAAATTCAGGCCTGTGCAGGATCTTTATGAGCATCCTGGATTGACAATTATACACAAGCATTGCTGTAATGACAGACTTTATTTTCATGTTTTATAATTTAACTGTATCACTAAAAATCAGCTCACTTTCATATTGTATCTCCCTACAACATAAGTAGTACAAAAATATGAATGGATTTTCAAACTGTTGTATGTATATTGAAAAAAGTTTTACGCTGCAGTCCAACTCCTTATCTTGCAAGCGGAAACAGCTCGCTAGGTCTGTTCTTCCCACCATCTCTGGCAGTAGCGGTAACAGTAGCTTGTGGGATTTGTTCACAAACAGTAATGAGAATTGAGACACTACAATTCCTGTACATCAAACCATAACTTTATGATACTGCCTATAGTAGTGAATATCTGTACAAGTAGTTCTGACTCTTCTCTCGGCCCCAGCCACTCATTCCAATATCTGAGCTGAGTTACTTATGAGTCCATAGAGCGAACTGGATCTGAGAACTGCTCCACTAAAGAGGAAAATAACCCTGCAAAAAATAATTTTTTTAACTATGTCCCTTAAATGATCTGACACTGCAACACTGTTTCCATAAAGATTAAGTCTTTTAAAATGGCTAACATTCATCTGAAAATACTCAGCTCCTCATTCATCTTTAAAAACATCAGGCATGACATCTTCTAAAATAACACAATTTTCTACACTGAAACCATGTATTCCACAATTTTCTTCTTTTTTTTTGGTGGAGTTCCTATGATTAATTACTTCCACAGTCTGTTACTAATGACAATCATTCACTAATCTTTTTTTTTCTTAAATCATGAAGTTACCATGAACATAAAAGTCTAATTCCAGGTAGCCAGTTTTATAAACATTATTACAGACAGCTACAAGGACAGCATTATAAAACTTGCTTCATTTGCTTTTCATTTTTCCAAAACTGAGTCACTGAAATTGAAATTCTTGAGGATGACTCTTTTTTTTCATTCCCCCAAACCATTCAACTATTAAATGGCACAGCCCAGTATTTCCAAAGGAGTGGGTCAACAGCTATTTTTAGGAACAGGGAAGATCTTATCCCACATGAGGTGACTACAAACATGTGCAGTCTAGCTATGCAAGTAGTACTGGCCTGACATTTTTTCAAAAACACCAAGCTCCCAGTGCATGGATATGAGCAAAGCTCTGCTCACTTCCTATGTACTCGCTGCCCAAATTCCTAAGAGCTACGGGAAAGAGACGCAGGAAGCTGGCAGCAAAAGGAACAATCCAGAGCAACCCTGAGCACTTGGGAAATGATGGAAATGAATTGCTGTGGTTAAGAAACACATTTCTAGCTACCATCTTTAACAGTGTTCTCAGAGCCATCTTCTTCATGACATAAAATTATATGGCATAATTTGGATGCCTTCAGCACGGAGACCAAGTCTACGCCAACCTGTATAGATTTCCTTTTAAAGACAATGGAGGGAAATAGATATTTCTGATATTAATGTTAATGTCTAAAGAATAAAGTTTTCCTCCACAATTGAAGATTCCAGGAAATTGGCACTGTTTAAAAAACAGGACCTAATGCATCTGAGTATGCTTAGCCTGTACTAATTGGAATGTAAAGGGCACATATGTAAAACACAATCTACTTCAATAGTCTTCAGAAGACCATCAGTTTGTTTTCTTATTGTTTCGTCCTTTTATTCCCATGGGCTCAGCAAGATACTCAAAACCTTCAACTCCTGTTCCAGTAATCAAACAATGAAATCGAGGCTATATATTTGCATGTATCTTTGTTTGCAATTCTATAGTGACTAACTTATCCTGCGTCTTATCTTTTTTCTTGAAACTTAATTGTGAGGTTTTTGTACAAAGAAGTACAGTTTAGGGGTGGGAAAGAAAAGAATTTGGATAAACTAGTTACTACAGAAGTGCAAACAATCTTGGACAGAAGCCCAGGATGAGGCTTGATCCTTGTTGAAGACAGTATAGGGAAGACTTCTATTTTCTGCATCCTCCTAGCTAGCATTGCAGTTATTCAGACCACCTTTCCATAAAGACAGAGATGGAAAACAGTTTGCCAAGGGCTTTAAATCTTTACATGGAAGATCTAGCTGGAGATGAATGACTAAAAGTCTTATCTTTTCACTGCGAAGCATACACACACACACACACAACATTCCTTCCACTATTCTCTTTTCCTTTGCTCCAGACTCTTCAAGGTTCTCTTACCAAAGCCTTCCTGCTTTTATTTAAAAAAATTCACTCAGAAGACTCTAAATTCTACTCAGAAGGCTCTGAATTCTACTCCCACATCTCCAAATTTTAAAGTTATTATTTAGTCCTTTCCACTTCAAGATGACATGAGCATAAATGGTTTCTACTAATATTAATTGGGACACAATCAAAACATGCTTACAAACTTTAGGACCCAGAGAATTATCAAGAAAATGCAGCATATCACATATCTGAAAAGGTATACATGTGTGCTTAAATATGCCCTTTACAGGAGGAATAACCCATTAAAATTATGCTCACGAGTATTATATATGTTACTAACCACAGCACAATCACTGTATTTGTCTGTATGCATCTCGTATTACTTACAGTCAAAGAAAATAAACATATATAGGAAAGCGTAAGCATTTCAGAACAAGAAAGTAAAGTAGCAAGGGAAAACTTACGTGTTTTGATAGGTTAGGACTCTTTGAGTCAACATCATAGCTTTAAAAAAAAAAAAAGGGAAGTTATATCACAGATGACAGATCTGAGGACAATGTAAAGAAACAAAAAATCAAACAATTCTTTCACCTATGTCAATGTGTGAAACAGACAGGTGAATGGAAGTCTCACCAGTAAGGAAGGCAAATTGAATCATCACAGATTATAAGGTTATGGTTCACTAACTATTTGAAATTAAATCATTTTCAACAAAGTGCAGGCTACCAAAAGAAATTATTCAGATATTCCTGTGCAAACAATGAAAGCTGCCAAAAACCAGAACAAAAACTAAAAATTAATCTTAGAAAACAAACTAACTTGTGAATTATTTTCTTAGGTAATTTTTCGGTCATTTGACTAATTAAATAGAAGTAACTGACAATAAACTAAATTGCTTTTAGCAAGAGTTTGACTTGTTCTTTTCAGCTTATCATAATCTTGTTCTTCCTCCAGCTAGAAAATGCCAGTGTTTCTCTTCCACTACCAAGTCAGATTTCAAAAAAATTATTCTGCAAATTCAAGATAGATTAAAAAAAACACCTAACATAAGAAATTCCTGGGGGATTACTAATCTCTGTACTTTCATAGTTTTCCATCGTTATCAGATAATCCATGGTGATATTTTTGATCAAATCCTATATTCAGATTCAATACCTGTAACTAAATTGAAAAAGTATCCTCTCTGCCCATCTCAGCCCCCTGGCACGTTGCCATTCCCACCATGTGGTATGCTCTCCCTTTTGTATTGCTGCCACAACCAGTTGTCGGGATGCATTATGGACAGATCACAAGGCAGGACGACGGGAATATCGCAATGTAGCTGGATGTGGTGCAGCACAGTCAAAGTTTTAGAAACATATTTGTAAACAAAGGACTAACTATAAGAACCACTAGCATGAGTTAAAAAAAAAAAAACAACAAAACCAAGCAACAGTAATTGCATACTGCCTGGTGAAAGTGAACAGAAAAACACAACTGGTAATTTGACCTGAGGTCTAGCTACACAGCTAAAACCAAGAACTACTTCACTGGCAAAGATCAGTAACAAATCATCAAATAGGAACAGAAAGGGGCCTGAGACATTGGTGGTGGCTGTACAGTTTGGGAGGGGGCTCACGCTCATTTATCAGAACATCAAAAATCAGAGATATACTGGCCACTTCCTCTTGTTGCAAAAAACATGAATCAGATGAGGAGTTTCTTTCTGTAAAAAATAACACTTTGGCCAACACTAGTACACAATTTTGCTGAGGAATTTAAAAAAGGAAGCTTTCTAAAAATGCTTCTTTCCTGACCTAAATTGGAATTTTAATCCATGAGTAGCTATACGAGATTCACATTTTTAACGCTGAGTTCTACGATATTTCATTCCTCATCTATCATTGTTACAGGGCTCTAAAGTAAATTCATGGACTATAGCTGTACCGTCACTTGCAGACAAACATTAAAACCAGTTATTCAGCTTTGAGTTCAGAACAGACTTGTGTCCAGGTAATCCAGAACAGCAGCAAAAAGCAGTCAGGTCTTTCTGGTAAGTACAGAGCATGTTTGATATATACAGCTTTTCGTGAATAAACAGGAGTCCATTTCTCTGAGTACATGAAGAATCAAACAGGAGACTGTATTTCCCTTTCAGGTCCAAGTCCTTTTCAGATAGCACTTACCCAGAAGTTCTTTACAGAATTCCCTGTCTTTGCCTAGACTGAGCCTAGCTTTCTCTTTCTTGGTTCATTTCTTTTGCTCTTCTCTTCTACATTACTGCCTCCTCCCCATAACATACATGCATTCTACAAGACGCAAGAGGCAACCAAATCAAGATTCCTACACAGCCCTGACTGTGTCTTTATTTCAGCAATGCTCTACCTACACTTGGAGGAAAACCCTTTATTTCACAAAGTGACTAGCTGTTACTTGGAGTTATTTTAAATAGCAGGCAACAGTTATACTCAGGATATTTAATGACATTAAAGCCAACTTCTAAAATAAAAAAGAAAACCTGCACCAGGCTTCCATGGTGAAGATGAAAGAATTTGTACCTAGCCATCTAGAAGCACCCCATAATCTATCTTGGCATTGAGTATTTCCTTACATTCCTTGAAATAGCTGAAGTCTCGATGGAAACAGCTAACTGCTATTTGTGTATTGAACACAATCGAACTTTCTTCCTCACTCATCCCTCCAACACTTCTTATTAACTTCGGAAGCATTCTGACATGCTATAAAAAGGCATTTACAGCTAAAAAAAAATTAGACATGGTGGGTTTTTTGTTTCCACAATATAGGAAATGCTGCCATTCGAGAGCATTTTGGTATACCCTGCTAGCAACTTAAATTGGCAAAACTACATGTAACTTTATTAACATTGCTAACATACATCTATCAGGCATCATAGTTTTTCTTCCACTGCTATGGGAAAAATTATCTCTAATGTGATCACTACTCTATTTATTTTATGCCCTGCTTAACGTACAGATTGATTTGCATTCCAGAAACTCGGGGAGGGGGTACCAAAAAAAAAAAAAAAAAAAAAAAAAAAAAAAAAAAAAAAAAAATCAAGAGACTGTCAGAGTTGCTTCAAAGTGACTACTTGGATAAGTAAATGGCACATTAAGACTAAAGCCTAGAAGATTTAAAAATGGTTTTACCATGAACTTGCTAGGAGATTTTAGGCAAATTATGAAGTCTTTCTTCATCTGCTTTGCTGTCTACAAGACAGAAATGCAATAAATGCAGTTTCTATATCAAAGCAAACTGGTAATGTAACTTTAAACTGGGAAGCGATAATACTACAACTTACCGCTACTATAATCAACACCTGAGTAGGATTTGTTGCAATTCCATAAAGCATATCAGGAGACCTCAGTCTTTAGGGTTAGAAAATATAGGAAGGCAGAGAACACTGTATCTTTCTTGACGTTTTTATTCGGTAAGTAACTTAACAGATGAGTCTCCTAAATTTTTCTCAAGAACAAATAAACTAAAAGAAATACACATGAAGGCAGAAATCTTACAAGTACAAAATAAGAACCGACAAAACTCAAGCTAAAGTACATCTTGCAAAGGAAATGAAAAAAAAATAGGGAAAGGATTCTTTAACTAAAAAGGACATGCAAAGAAAAATTGTGGCCACTATGCATACTATACTGCAAAAAGGAGTGAATGGCTTTCCCTTCATTATCTATAAGGGTTATTAAAGTGCTCTCTCACAGGGCAAGGTTAGGAAGAATTCCTAGTAAAAAAAGAGGATGAGAATTAAAAAAACAAGGCAAGCTTGATAATCACAAAGACTGAAATAATAAGAATGAGGTGAAATGTAACAGATGACATGCAAGGAGACATGGTGACTGGACTCTCACTTCTATTTTCCGAAGAATAAAGTGAAAATCAAACCAGTTACATCAGTGGAATGAAACGAGTACATCTTGAATAATGTCAAAAGCCATCTACTTCTAGAACAACTGCTTTAATTTTAAAAGCTTACAATTTAGTACACTTAGATGCATACCGCTACTTACTTTAGTAAAGAAAATTTTGGCTGTGTTACTTGTACAATATTTTATTTCTGGACAGTATGTCCATACCTGTTTTATTGGCCATGCTGCAAGAATATTTTAACATTTTGACATCCTTAGCTTTCTAACTATTTTCTAAAAGTAATGATTGTGAGCATGACTGTACTTTGACTAGTTAACACCTGCCAATTTCTTAAAACTTGGTCACTATTACGTTACATATTTGTTTCTGAGGACAATCATGTTTATTAATGTATTCCATGTCAATAGATACTATCTCTTTTCAAGTTAATTTTACACTGGAAAAAAATGTTTATAGAGGCTACAATATTAGAGTCAAAGATTCTTAACTTACAAATCAAATCGCAGATTCTCTCTTTCCTCAAAGAAGTAGTCCATTATAAATTTTCTTACAAAATCCGGATTTAAAGTATTATCAATTACTTCTGTTCTTCCAAACTGTAAAAAAGAAGTATAAGTTTAAGACATATGCTATAATGAAGTATAATTAAGTAGACTGCCAATACCAGCAATATGTGAGATATGAGAGAGCCTGTAAAAAATTCTCTTAAACAGATACCATGAAAGAAAATGACTGTGTTCACATGACTAGATCAGTTATCTGATCAGTTATCAGAAGACAGACCAGCAGGAGACCTCATATTTCAATATAAAGAGTGCTGCACCCCCTGTATCACATGACATAAACTTTATAAACATCAGCTCCCAAAGCTGATCAGCAGCCACAAAAATTTGGGGAAGAAATCGAGTAACATAAAAATCCACTGTTTCTTCAAAAAGATGGCAACAGCAAGCAAAAGCTTGCATATATTGCTTATTTCAGATAGCTTTAAATATTAGGGAACATAGTGCTTCCATTAGAAGTGAAACATTTTTGCATTATCCAGCTCCTATTTCACCTCAGTTCAGCCCTCTCTTCATCTCTCCTCTCTCTGAGCTTTCTGCAAAACACCTTTTCTTTCTTGGTGTTCATCAAGCTGAAAATATTCTGATTAAAAATATATCTAACTTTTGATTGACTTCATAGAATCATAGAACCGTTTGGGTTGGAAAAGACCTTTAAGATCATCAAATCCAACTGTTAACCTAACCCTGCCATCCCACCACTAAACCATGTCCCTAAGCACCTCATCTACCTGGCTTTTAAATACCTCCAGGGATGGGGACTTGACCACTTCCCTGGGAAGCCTATTCCAGTGCTTGACAACCCTTTCAATGAAGAAATAGGTGTGATACCTTTGTTCTTGTTTTAGCTGTTCTTCCAAGACACTCAGAAACCAAAAGAAGAAAGAATGAAAGAATGCTCATTGAAATAAGCATTTCATTTTGTCCTACACATTGAACCTATCAAGCCATATTAGAATATAGCATACTGAAAAACTTTTTGACAGTCTGCTGAAAGATCATCATTAAGGACTCCTCAAAACTGGAATCTGGGACTAGAGAATTTTGAATGATTCGAAGACTGCCTACCTCTTCATTGGCAGGACTTAGCAAAATCAATAAACATGGATAAAGAAAGAAAAAAATTCTTGCAACTAAAGGTTTTTGAGATGTATTTCCTAAAAGCATTTTCACATCATGGATGTGAATCTAAGCACTATAACCTGCACTGGGACCCTCAGCCTCCCGCAGGAACCTCCCTATCCCAGCCCCTCCATACATAGTGTATGTGTGGCATGAAAGGACAGAGCATGTTCCACTGTCTCTTCCTCTCAAAACTAAGCAATTTCCTTTCATTGCTTGATTTTTATTAAAATAAAATGGTAAAGAACTCCAGCCATGTTATTTGTGTGTTTTAAAGAAACTCCATTACTGTAAGCAACTCTTTTTTCTCCTTTGACTGACTGTGCATGCATGCATTCAAACTGCAGGAGATAGATTCCGAGCACCATACAATCACACAGCTCATCTGGAGAAGTAGGCCTGTAGCTAGGAGGACAACAGCTTTGGAAAAGGCAACTACCCACCCAAAGGTCTCAGGTACAATAAAATGTTCAACATAAGTTAACACATCTTCAAGACACAGCTCTATAAAGTCTCAGGAAAGGGGAACAAGCCTCAGAAGTGACACAGTGGTGATCTGCATCTTTACAGAGCGTGCTTGAATCCTGTTTGGAACCTTCACCTTTGCTATGCTGTGAGATGTTCAGTTGGGACAGTCTTATTCAGAGATCTCCACATTCCAGCACTTCCTATAAAAGACAGAGAAGCAAAACTATCTTCCCAATAAACGATACCATCTCCAAATAAAAAGGTAAAGAATATTTAACATTTAGTATCAGTAAGCATACTTGTTTGCCAAGAATTTACATCATTTCTTAAAACCTAGGTGGAATGATTCCCTGGTCTCATGGGAACCTTGATATCCCCTGCACAAAGGCTTCGAGTATGTCCTAAGGCACAAATTGTTTAGAAAGCAAGTTTACTCATTAGCAATTGCTGTATTTCTTCAGTTCTCCTAAGCCAAAGCAATAGCTATGAAGGCGGTGTATATATATATATGTAGGCATTATACAGGTGTGGGCAGGAGAAATCTCCAGAAGCTCTCCAGAGTGATGAAGATATTGGATATTCAAAATAAAATCCCTGAGCCTCTTAAGAGAGGACTAGCACAGGATGCACATGATCCTGGAAACAGATCAGAACACAAACAAACTGTTTGATCCTTACTGTTTGTTTTGGATGAAAAAAGTCAGTCTCTTGAGAAATTATTCAAGGTATTCTCTGAAACATTGGGATAAAGTTGACAAGCAAAGTGCTGTAAAAAGCACTCTCTTGAACCAAAACTGGTGACTACTATGGCCAAATATTAATCAATGAGAAGCAATAGCAGTGGTAGAGAGTTGGCATTTCTATGGGAATAAGTACGGCTGGAATACTTGCCTGGGCTAAAGGGCCTTTCTTTCCCCTCTGAATAGTAGCGTTCAAATTTTATGTACATTCAAAGTCTCCAATCAGTTTCCAGGTCAAATAAATCTCAATGTTTATAAATAAAATCTTCCCCTGTCAGCTGCGTGCTTGATAACATTCAACAATATTGGAGCCAGGAAAAAATGGAAAGCTGGAATGGCTGATAAAATGAAATATGCAGCAATATCTAAGCATTTAGTACTGTTTGAAGGTATGCCCTGAAAATGAGAAGCCACTCTCTGACACAAGCCAGTAAACAGCAGTTCATCAAACCAGGGATGAAAACAGGGTCATAAGGACCATCCATTTTGCAATTCTGAACAGAAATATATCTCATCTGTGTATTTTTCCCCTCAAGTGTCCTATTTCTTCCATTTGCGCTCTAACAGCAAACTGTCCAAATTCTCTGAAAGACTGGAAGCAGCTGCATAAAGAGGAGATTTACCCTTAGTACTGAAATCTGATAAACACTGACCTACTCTAGAAGCGAAGGACTCTGGGCCTTCCAAAAGAAGATCCAAGGATGACTGCATTGTAACTGGCAAAGCTACCAGAGGCACAGCAAGCAAGCAAAGAACACATACTCAGTTTTGGTAGTCTCTCATGCTATGTCCAACAGAATCAGAAATACATATACAAAGATTTCCATGAAAATATCTCCCAGCCTGTGCAGATTCAAATAGCAAATTGTCCTGGGAGACTTATCAGGCAGAAAAAGAAAGGTTACTGAAGTTCTTTAAATCCTCAGATTAGGACAAGCTTGAAGGAGAATAAAAGGATCTTCAATCATGTGGGACCTACACTTGCATATACATGGAAGAGACAGAGCAACAAAGAACACAGGGAGCTGTTGCCTAAGAAACTTTACTTTATGTTGCCAAAGTCATCATCTAAATTGAAAGGCAGAAACCCAAAATAACTAAGTGAGCTCAGAGGATAACTTGTCAAAAGCATCCGTTCAGGGGCACTAATACTCCTCTTGACAAACCTCTGGCTTGACACCTTCACAAACAGATCATTTTCTGACAGTTGATCCTTCTTGAAATAGTAAAGGCAGTTTGCACAACAGGAGGATATACTTGACTTTGGAAAAGCCATTCGAAGGAAAAGAAAATTAATGGCTAAGGAAAACACAAGAATCATAGAATACTTGGGGTTGGAAGGGGCCTCAGGAGATTGTCCAGTTCCACCTTCCTGCTCAAAGCAGGATCAGCTACAGCAGGCTGTCCAGATAGGTTTTGAGCATGTCCAAGGATAGAGACTCCGCAACCCCTCTGGGCAACCTGTTTCAGTGTAAGATCACCTTCACAGTAAAAAGGATATTTTTCTTAAGTTTAGATAGAATTTTCTGCATGTCAATTTGTACCCAGTGACTCTTCTCCTTCCACTGGATACAGCTGAGAATAGTTCATCTCCGCCTTCTTTACTGCCGCACATCAGGTATTTTTAAACATGGATAAAATATAAGCCTTCTCTTCTCCAGGCTGAAGAATTCCACCTCCCTCAGCTTCTCCTCATATGAGAGATGCTCCAGTCCCTTCAACGTCTTAGCGGCCCTTTGCCAGACCCACTCTGGTATGTCTGTATTCTTAGAATCACAGAATCATTTAGGTTGGAAAAGACCTTTAAGGTCATTAATTCCAACCGTTAACCTAACACTGCCATCCCACCACTAAACCATGTCCATAAGCACCTCATCTACCCAGCTTTTAAATACCTCCAGGGATGGCACATAGCTAGGTAAAGGAAAGCACTGTTTCCCTTTGTTCCTATGTACCCTAAAATGATCATGAGTTGACACAGACTCTCACCTCAGACAAAAACTCCAGCTTATTTATACAGCCTTGCAAACTCTCTCACGAAGTTCAACAGAGACAAATTTGAGGTCCTGTACTTGTACTGGGGAGTGAGTGGTGGGGTATGAGCTGTGCAGAAAAGGTCCTGGTGCAGACACAAGGGGTTAAGAACACGTTGGGTTGTATTAGGGTCAACGCAGCCTGCAGATGAAAGGCAACAATTTTTCCCCCTCTATTCAACACATGTGGGGCTCCACCTAGAAAAGTGGGTACAGCTTGGGGCTCTAAATACAGCTGAATCAACAGTCTGGAGGCAGTTCAGTTAGATGGACCCTAAAAAAATAAAAACCCAAACAAACCAAAACGATCAGCAGGTTGGAGCACACAACTTGAGGAAAAGCTGAAGGAGCTCAGTTTGTTCAGCTTGGAGAAGAGAAGGTTTCCACTACCATCCTCCACTTCCTAAACAGCATTATAGAAGAAGACAGAGCCAGACACTTCACAGGGAGCACAACAAAAGGGCAAGATGCAACAGTCAGAAGTTGCAACAAAGGAAATTATGATGGGATACAGGGAAACACTTTTGCAGAATGAGGGATTAAGCACTGGAATGGGTTGCCCAGAGAGTTGTGCAGTCTCTGCCATCAGAGAATTTCAAACCTTAGCTGGGAAAGGCTCTCAGCAAACTGGCCTAACTTTGAAGATGGCTTTGAATGGATCAGGATGAAG